TCAGCTCAGGTGAGCTAAAAACGTAATTTTTGGAGAATTTATTACATCACACAATGTATTTCTTTCATATCAAAACTTTTCAAATCAGAATTGAGATAATTAATATTAAATAGTAATTTAAAAGCAAATTTATAAACAAGAGAAGAAACCCAATTAATGTTTATATCTAATCATTTATATCCCTGACACAAGTCTGATGGATAAAAAAAACTACAATTTTTTATTAAGTATTTCAAAAACACGTTTAGAATGTAGAAATATTTTTTTCTTTTTAAATGAAGTTCAATTAATGGAAATACTGAAACTTTTTTACACATTTGTAAATTCTATTGTAACTTCGGACATATATAAACTATAATGTTCATGTATATACATGTACAATAGGATGTGTTATGGCAAGTTGAATAAAAATTAAATCAATTTGCCGGTCATTATTTTTTAATTTATTCACAAATAAGTTGCATGTTAATATAGATAAATCGCAGTTTGCGTTGGGATTCATACAAGTATGTGCAGAGAATATTTATAGAATCCATTCTTACTGAGAAATCCCCCTCTGGTGACTTTAACTGCAGGCAACGGAAAGATAAATCAAAAGATAGTAGCACAGTGGTGTGTGAAGGTCATCCTATCATTACAAAAGTTTGTAAGGAGGGAAGTGTACTGCATGCTCTGATCATTTGAAATGAGGAGACTCTTACATCATCACCAGTAACAGAGAAAGAGTAGTTTTGTAGTAGTGTCCTGTTTTAGTGACAGATACCCAATAGAAGGTAAGTATAGGGACACATATCTTTTATAATGGAAGGAATGCATTAATTGTGTCTGAATGTTTGGCTTGTAAAAATCAAATTTTATATCCTACTCTTTATACAAATTACAAAAACAAAAAAAACAAAAACCAAAACAAACATAAAAAAGAATCGAGTGAATTGGAATATTATTCCTTGTACTTTAATTTTACATTTGATATATGAGGTGACTCAAAATGATAAATTTGCATGCAATGTTGCATTAATTTATGCCTAAGTAAAGACTTATTTTCAATTAATAATAAGCGACAACAAAAATGTTTTTAAGAGCTTAATTGGCCTTAAAATACAAAAAAAAAAATCCTAATTGTTGATTAGATTTTCTCCAGATTTGCATATATTTCAACTGAATTGGTCAGTAAATGTAGCCAGGTATACAGTTAGAAGGTGAATCGGTGTGGAAGACACAAAAAAGTGTGTTCTGACTTGAATGTTATACCTCAAATTTTTTTTTCTTAACCTTGTTTGACCTTGCTATTGATTAATACAAGTACAATATGGACCTACAATTAAAACATTAATGTGTACATGGTACTCTCTTAGTTCTGTTTATATTTCAACAAGTTCAAGAGTTAATTATAGAAAAGTATTTTATTGTGGAAGATGAATGTGTTTGTTACGGACTTTGATACTGAATGACAAATTATTCTGTTTTTCTTAACCTCGGTTGACCTTTTTGATTGATACAGTAGGGACCTTTAGGTTAAATAAACTTCTGAAGATTCATTGCTTGAGGTTTTTTCATGCTTTATATCAGTGACGTAGTTAACACCTTCTTTAGCAGGCACGTAGTAGGGGGTGGGGGTGGGGGGGGGGTAGGGGGTGAGGATGCCACCCAACGTTTTTTCTAAACATAACCTTCTACTATTGAAGATGTTCATTGAAAGGGTGGTTCCCCCACCCGAACTTTTATTTGGGGGAATAAAAAAAATGACCACAAAATTGAATTTTTTTGAAATAATTGAACTAATCATACCATATTTTTCACTTATATCATAATACTGCACACGCATTCTAGTTAAAGAAAATATTACTACATCCTTAAAGATTTTCTAAAATACATAATCAAAAGAAATGATAGTTTTTAATGCTTCTAAAAGGTATCAGGGATATAAATGATTAGATCTAAATCTTGTTTAAGCTTCTTCTCTTGTATATGTGAAAGAAATTGACTTTTTGATTTTTATTTTTCATCAATTTTTTCAATTCTGGTTTAAAAAGTTTTAATATGAAAGAAGTATGATACAATGAATCCCGCCTTTGTCCATTTAAATCAATTCCTTAATTAAATCTAAGTCAAAAAGAATTTTGATATACAAGTTTTCTTACAAAAATTTCTAGATTTTGAAGTAATCCTATTTTACCTTATTTTGTTACACTCCTGACATTTGGTATGTGTTTTTTTAAACATCGTTTTAAAAATTACAACACACAATAATTCATTCAAAGTTTGTAAATCAGTTCGTTGTTTTGATTTTTAATTTGTTGATAGACATACTAATTTGAACTACAAATAGTATCACATATTTTCTGCAACTTATTTTCAGTAAAGATAGATGAAGTTCATTGATATTTATAAAACTTTTGTTGCACTCCCAACTGCAGTAAAATATCACATTAAAACCATATAACACAAAAAATCATAAAGTGTTGGCAACATCAAGTGGTAACGAAACAGTGCAATTTATAGTCCAATATTCATGGTTAAAGCACGTAAAAGTATTTAACCTTGGCTTTATATCTTGAATTTAATTCCTATTTATGTTAAAAAAAAAGAAAAGAAAAGAAAAGAAAGCTAAAAATATAGTTAGAAGATAAAAGTATACATGTATTTTAATAGTATATTTCCCTTCATGGGAAAAACACTGTAAGCAATTGAGGTCAACCAGAAACATTACTCATTGATTTTTTTTTTCTTTGTATTTATTCATATTTGATCTGCAATAATTCTAACAATTTTGCTGCTTTCCTGACCAAGAGAATACCAGTCTCTAAAGTAGAAATGTAAAGCATAAATTACACGTGTTCTGTTGTTTCAGTGAAGCTGAGGTGGAATTACTTGAATTTTATAACAATTTTTTTTTACATTCATAAAAAAAATCCAAAGGAAAGATAAGACACATCTGGATTGAGAAAAAATCGAAAAAGGGACAGATTTTAATAACACAACTGTCAATAATTTAGTACTTACACATGTAATTATTCAAATGGATCATTATTGATTGAAGAATATTTATTAGTATGAATATAAGTCTTTTCATCATATAACTTGGATCTTTAAAAATGTGCTGCACTCCTGACATATGGTCGTGAAAGATACCTACCTAATCCCTCCATCTCAAGAAATAGGATTTTCGGGTGAGGACGATTTTTTTTCTTGTCAAAGTTTTTTTTTTGGCTGCCCCTCCTTTTCAAAACGATACTAGGTGCCTATTTATCTTCGGCAATTATGCAACGTGCGTTTGCATATTTTTTTTTTAAATTATTCATTTTTTTTTTTTACGATTCTTGCGTGGAAAGCTGAAGTGCACTTTTCTGAATAGATGATTTCATTTAAAGAAAGAAAAAAGCAACTTCTTGTAATATGGTTTCATTTTGATCATAGTTTAACACAGGAATAAGAGCATTATCACTTCTGACTCCAAGGACATAAACTTAAATGAGCTCACTTTTGATCTCAGTCTCACTTTTACTAAAAGGAACAAATAGTGGAAATGTAACACTGAGATCAATAGTGAGCTCATTTAAGTTTTATGCTCCTGGAGCCCGGGGCTGAATTTGGAAACGAAAGTTTTTACATAGAAACATGAGGAAAGGTGTGGTATTAATTCTTTTAAACGATAATAAAACTTTGCCAAATTCACATTTTAGTACTTTCATGCCATGTACTTTCAAAGTAATTATGATTGTGGCCGATAAGATAAAGGCATCTTCGTTAATTATGACTGCTCATATTACAGAATCTTCGTTAATTATGACTGCTCACATTTCAGCATCTTCGTTAATTATGACTGCTCACATTTCAGCATCTTCGTTAATTATGACTGCTCATATTACAGCATCTTCGTTAATTATGACTGCTCACATTTCAGCATCTTCGTTAATTATGACTGCTCATATTACAGCATCTTCGTTAATTATGACTGCTCACATTCAGCATCTTCGTTAATTATGACTGCTCACATTACAGCATCTTCGTTAATTATGACTGCTCACATTAAAGCATCTTCGATGTTATCACTGCTCTCATTAAAATATCATTAAAAATACATTAAGGCATCTTCGATTTTATGACTGGTTACATTAAGGCATCTTCGATTTTATGAATGGTTACATTAAGGGATCTCCGATATTATGAATGGTTACATAAAGGCATCTTCGATTTTAAGACTGGTTACATTGAGGCATCTTCGATATTATGACTAACTGGTTACATTAAGGCATCTTCGATTTATGACAGGTTACATTAAGGCATTTTCGATTTTATGACAGGTTACATTAAGGCATCTTCGATTTTATGACTAGTTACATTAAGACATCTTCGATTTTATGACTGGTTACATTAAGGCATCTTCGATATTATGACTGGTTACATTAAGGCATCTTCGATATTATGACTGGTTACATTAAGACATCTTCGGTTTTACGACAGGTTACATTAAGGCATCTTCGATATTTTGACAGGTTACATCAAGCCAAGGTTCACTTTATGGGGAGCGTAGCAGACCGAAAACCTTTGCCTTGTGAAGACGAGATTAAGGTGGTGCCAAAATAAGATTTAAAGTTTTTTTTTTTTCTTGAAAAGGACCGAAGAACTACTCAAGATTAGCAGAAGTGTTATTCATATAATATGCAATATTATCATTGCAAGTTGACTCATAATTGATAATAATGAATGACCCCAGGACCAAAACCGTTACTGACAATGAATACATTCTTATAAACTGATATGCAGTAAAGAAACAAATTAACAAGTATTAGTTAAATATAATATACATACACATGTAACCGAAAAGTGAGTTGAATCGCCTAAATGTTTACTCCGAGGTTACTTCCATATTTCCAATTTATCTTACGTGGACAATATTTATAATCAATTTTTTGCTTTTCAAGAAAAAGAAGCCAGAAAAGTCTGGTTGCATGACTTTAATTTTCCAATTCAAATATATACTGTACCAATTGTCAGTTATGACGACTAAATCTGGAAATGACGTCATCGTCACACAGGAAGTGTTCGTCCGTCGTCGACTTGGGCTGCCTAGTGGGATATCCTTCATAGTGGGGACGATCATTGGTATGCGGCAAGTAATTTTATTTTAAATAGTTTTAAAACACTTGATTACATCAAATTGCATTAGTATGAATTTTTAGACACGTTTTTGACTAAAACGCAAATCCATGGTCATCAGATTTGTCAAACTTGTACAGAATCGAAACATATGTAAGTTAATATATGTGCTCAAACAAAAAGAATAGAAGTACCTTTTTTTCAAGCAGCACTAAAGATAATGCATATTATATATGCTTTTTGATTTCATGCACATGCAGGCATAACGTGTATGTTGTAATGATCTCAACCAAATGTTGACAAGCTTTAATTTAGGTCTCAGAAAATATATTTTCATATAATTATTGCAAATATTTATTTGGTACTTAAAAATCAGGTTTCGTCATTTTTAAACTCAGATGTACCACTGAACTTTTTAATAATGATTCAATCTGTATTCATTTGATTATTATCTAGGGTCTGGGATCTTCATATCCCCCAAGGGTGTGTTACTGGGAACAGGCTCTGTTGGACTTTGTCTAGTAGCGTGGGCAGTATCTGCAGCATTATCACTCTGTGGTGAGTAGCGTGGGCAGTATCTGCAGCATTGTCTATCTTTGGTGAGTAGCATGCGCAGCATCTGCAGCATTATCATTCTGTGGTGAGTGTATTAAAATACTTATATCAAGTAAATGCTACTACATGTAAATACAAAAGGGAGGGGGGGGGATTGGAAGAGTAAAATTCCTTTTGATTTAACTGACATTCCAAATTAGAATCTGAGCTAGTCAATTCTTAACTTATAAGTATGTCCCAAATTTTTAGATGATTGTGCATTCTGCCTAACTACAAATCAAAGTTTCTAACAGTTGGTATGAAAAGCATTTTGTACTATACATTTTTTTTCTTCGAATCACATAAAATATTTAGTTACATGTATAGCCATAATTAATGATTATAAACATGCATGTATTCTTTGAAAAAAGGGCATTTTTATCAAACTGTCTGATCTTACATTCTTTCTGCATCAGGTTATCTATTTCGGAGATTCTTTATATAAATTCCTTATTACAGGAGCGTTAGTAATGGCGGAGCTTGGCCTTCTTCTACCACAATCAGGTGGTCCATACATCTACTTAAATAGAGCTTTTGGGAGCTTCCCAGCTTTTCTTTTTGTATGGGTGAGCTCGGTGGTAATTCATCCTGCTTCGTTACTCGTCAAAAGCCTGACTGTGGCCGAGTACATAGCTCAGATAGCCATGGACGACTGCCAAAGAACCCAAGGGTGGACCAAACTAATGGCAGCCATCATCATTGGTTTGAAAAATCTTTTTTCCATCTTTTTTAAAAAAAAAAAAAAAAAACGAATAATACCATCACTCATCTAGCTTATTTTTAATTAAAATACATTATTAGTTAGTGTGACCACTGTCAATGTTGCGAGTGTGCAGTTGGCGGCGCGGACGCAGGTGCTGTTCTCCGTCATCAAAGTAGGCGGGTTAATGGTGATTATCGGCGGAGGAATATATCAACTAGCAGTAGGTTTGTTGGAATCTTGAATGAACTTTTATATATATTTTGCCTCTCCAAGTTAGACGATTTATAACAATTCACCTGTGTCAATTTAGTCGCAAGAGAACTTCTTAACCTCACTTTATATAGTAATTAAAAATAAAAATTGGAAAGTTTCAAAAAGATGCTTTTGCAATCTTGTGAATTTTCTATTTACATGTTATGTATAAATATATAATAAGCAGTAAAATAATAGATGACCGTGGTTCAACTAAAGCTCTGGAAACATACAACTTGGGGAGATCTGTCTATTTGTTGGGTTACGAATTATTAGCAATAATTGATTTTTTAAATAAAAATATTTATAAAAATAAAACACATTTTTGGATAATGTTTTTTTCAAACCTATGGATAAAATCTTTAAGTAACAGGTCACAGAGGGCTTATTTCACGTTTGAACCGATCCCGATCAAAATCAATACAAAATTAATTATTCCTAATTTACTCACAGGCACTTGGGGTATGGACCCCCCCCCCTTTTCCATTTTTTTTTCTTTTTAAATCTGGGGTCGAGTCACCTTTTTCCTTTTTTGTATTCTAATATGCACTGTATGTTATCAATAATGTAACTCTTTTATCTCTATAAGCTGTTTTTAAATATATCGTTTTCGACTGATACATAAAAAGAGAGAAGGCTTGCAACTCTTTTCTCATCGTCTGCCTCACCTCGCTTAAACTTCGCCTGATTATTTATCGAAAGAATAAGAAAACATGGAATATGCATACATCAATAAATTCGTTATACATTCTTCTTCCTTTTCATATTTCCATTTAATTTTTATGTGCCCCCGATTTGTAAATATTTCGATTAAATCACCCGCATCTAGGGTAAATTTTGTTGATGTGCACCAGCTGGGACGGAACAGCTAAAAGAGACAAAAGAGTTACATTATTGATAAGATACAGTGCATATTAGAATACAAAAAGAGGAAAAAGGTGACTCGACCCCAGATTTAAAAAGAAAAAAAAATGGAGAAAAAAATGGAAAAAAAGGGGGGGTTCCATACCCCAAGTGCCTGTGAATTTACTGCCTATCTCATGCAGTTTCTACTGAGAAATCCATATGATTGATTGGTTCAATTGTTTTGTAAACCATAATACACCAAAGGAACCTAGCATTCCTGTGAAATTGTTTTATATTTCCATTATATATATATATATATATATATATATATATATATATATATATATATATATATATATATATATATATATATATATATATATAAAGCACTAAAAACCAACAACACTGTATATATCCTAAGTGTCGGATCTACTAAGTAGATACAAGGTCACGGATGGAAATTTATATAAAGCACTAAAAATGACCAACGACACGAACAATAATAATTGTCAAATTTTCGGGACGACCTGTCCCTTCCTCAGGACAAAGAAAAAAGTCAAGAAGTCATAAAAACAAAGGAAATAGAGAAGCAAAAACAACTAGCACTACTACTAAACTACCAAACACTAAATATTTACAATGTTACATGTTTAATTTGGAGTTTATAAACAGTTGTGAACAAAGAAATCCGGAGCGCTATGAATTGCGTCCGGTCTATCGGGTGTACTCTGGTGAAGTGTGATTTACATAATTGAACGACTTAATTATCGCTAATTAATTACGACCAACAGTAAATCGTACATTGTCTTATTCTCTCAAATAGCGTAACTCTACATGATAAAAAGAAATTAAAGAAAGATAATATGGAAGGATAATTTTGAAATATGAATTTGGATATATTATAAATTTGGAAATCGGAAAAAAGAAATAAACAAAAATGTAAGCTGTAAATCCAAGATGGACAGACGCGCAGAGAAAAGGCAAGGAAAAGTTCTGGATGCACAGGCTGAAGTCATTCCGCCCTAATGGTATTAACAAACTTAATGACTTCACCAGGATGAACGTGAACTAGACCCAATCCCGGATTGTAAAAACAAGTTCATTCTCTCTATATAGTGTAAACTTTACCGTTAATTCGTATTAGCAATCCTGGAACAACCTACCCAAATATTTACAGCTTACATTTTTGTTTATTTCTTTTTTCCGATTTCCAAATTTATAAATTTGACAATTATTATTGTTCGTGTCGTTGGTCATTTTTTAGATTTTTAGTGCTTTATATATATATATATATATATATATATATATATATATATATATATATATATATATATATATATATATATATATATATATATATATATATATATATATATCTGGTTGGTTTGAAACCGTATTTCAAAAGATGTGTTTTAAACATCCATTATATAAGATTTTGGTGTAGCATTTCTCCTTAATTTTTTTTATTCATTTTACAAATATGGAAATATAATCATCAGGTATCAAGTAAAAGTTTTATTAGTTTTAAACAGGGGCTTTAAAAATATTAAAATATGGAATATTTATTGGCAAACAAATGGCTAAAATATCACGATAATTATAGTAGTGTATTTTTATTTGTTAAATCCAAGGTTTGACATTTTTCATTCTAACGTTTAAATATTTGTCTCCTCTCGTCTATTCTCCCTGAGTACTCACGAAAAGCCAAAAGCGTAAAAAAGAGTAATTTTTAGAAGAGAGGCAGATGGACGAAAAAATTTGATAAATCTGGATAAAAATTCAATACAAAATAATATCTCAGACCTTAATTCAAATCTAATGAATATTTTTTTTAAAAAAATAGACAATGTTTGGGAGATAGATAAATTCTTTTTTCCAAATTTCCTTTTTTCTGTAACTCTTAGTGATAAAAATGTTCAGAGAAAATTTTAACTTATCACTGCAAAATTTTTGAAGGTAGACCCTTTTTGCACTTGTACGCTACGTTTAGAATATTTTAAAATACAAACTCTTCGAAGAAGTCTGTATACTTTCTTTGAACTTTTTTTGTCATTAGGAAATTCAGGCATACTTGGCACAGGCTTTAAAGGATCCTCAACAGAACTAAGCGGTTTTGCTGCGGCACTATACAGCGGTTTGTGGGCCTACGGTGGATGGTACAGTATTTTCAGAACTTTGATTAAGCAATATAATAAACTTTTCCCACTAAATCAATATTTATAACTATAAAAATAACATTTTTTTTAATTTTATAAACACTGAGTGAAGATGTGAATTTTTTTTTCATTACTAAAATCTCCCAGTCACATTACTTATGTGACGAATTCAAGAAATGTTCTTTTATTTAGTGTTGTAACTCATGCCTATACGTTAGCAACGAACCTGTTCCAATTATTATTTTTACAAATCAAAATCCTTTAATTAAAATTTTGAGAAATGAATGGCATTTACATAACATTTGTGCAGATATGTATGAACAGATCTGAAAAAAAAATTGACAGAAAAAAGTCTATCCATAACATCAGTAAACTTGCTAATACAGCTTTTGGACCAACGAGCTTTATCATTTTTTCTAGCATGAAATTGTATGATAAACCAGTAGATCTTTAATACTTTTGTATCTAAGATAATTTTAATTTAAGGGGAAATCTTAATTATGCTGTAGAAGAATTGAAAAAACCAAATAGGTAAGTGATCCCTTAACGATTTCATGTAAGCAAAGATAGGTCTGCTTGTGTGTTTGATGGCGTCATTATCGAACAGAATACACCAAGCAAAGGATAAAATTTCGAAGCAATTAGCACACTGGATATCATGTAAAACAAAAAATAACTCGGGTGAACTTTTTCCCCATTTTCCCTATAATCCATTCCAGGAACCTACCGTTATCGATCGGCCTGTCCATGCTGATTGTGGTCTTCATTTATATGCTTGTCAATGTATCCTACTTTACACTGCTGACCAAAGAGGAGTTTCTATCGTCCTGGGCTGTTGGTGTGGTGAGTACCTTAAGTTTCTGTACCAAGGGCTTGTGAGTACTTGTCTTTAGGCTGAGCACCTCTGAAAGAATATCGAGTACTTACTCGACGAATTCCTGGGTTTTGGGTGCAGTGGGTCAGTAGTTACAAATTCTCCTTCTTCGAAGCAATGGGGGTGATGAGTATGCATTCTGATTCCTACCCCCTTGATCTCTGAGTGTGCTATGTCTTTATCATGATTATTTTTTTTAAATGATAATAACGGAGAAAAGGCGAATTTTAATGGTAGAGAGCATGGTGGTTTACCTGGCCGCTGCTTACAATGCTTTTACCTTTCTATCATTTGTTTTACATTAGACTTGGGCAGAGAAGATGTTTGGGAGAGATGGTGCCATTTTTGTTCCCATAATTGTGGCCTGCTCAGTGTTTGGATCAGCAAATGGCGGTGCTTTTGTGGGTTCAAGGTTCGTTTATACATACATATATATATATATATATATACCTCACAATATATATCCCAGATCACAAGCAAACTGGTCACAAATAAACATTTTATTCACATGAATAGTTGTTCTTGCTAAAATATGCATATTGTGACCACTTTTTACCTGGATTCTACCTGCACGAAATACCGGTATGAGAAAACATGATTTGTTGTTCCATACTGGGAGACATTGGATAAATTTTCCTTTGTATTTCAACTTAAAAAAAATATTCTAGATCACTGGGCTTCCAAGTTCCATTTTTATGAATTTCTAGTCCATGCTTGTGGATGCTTGAAAATTTAATGACTTACTGTATCATTGCTGCTTTATAAACAATAATTCTTCAAAGTTTTCTTTCTTCTTACCTGTATATTCTTTTCAAAACTTGAATCTCTATCGCAATTCTGTTCTAGCCCTCTGGTCAATTAAATGTACTTTATTAATGTTCACAGATATTTGCACACATTCTCATATTAGATTATCAACTGAAATCATGAGAAGTTAAAAGAATTATATTTTTAATTGCCCCCGTAGTCGAAGATTCGAAGGCATATAGTTTTTGCCCTGTCCGTCCGTCTGTCCATCTATTTACCGCAAAAACTTTAACCTTGTCCATAAGTTTTGATTGGTTGTAGCTATGGCTTTCATCTTTATTTCAATTGTGTATTCCTTAATTGTGACAAGACCTTTCTTTGGGTACCAACATATTTGACCTCTTGACCTTGGAGTCTGACCCACTTATGCAAAATTGTGCGAAGACCTTACTTGGGTAAAAATATTTTTTACCTTGACCTTCCTCTGACAGGATTTTCCCTTGGATTCCAACAATTTTGACCTTTTCATCTTGACCTTGGAGTTTGACCCACTTTTGAAAAACTTAAACCTTGGTCATAATTTTTGAACAGCTAGTACTAGGTCTTTTATAGTTCACAGGTATATTCCTTGTGACAAGACCTTTCCTTGGATACCAACAATTTTGACCTTGACCTAGGAGTTTGACTCACTATTTGGAAAACTTTAACCTTGGCCGTAACTTTTGAACGGTGACCTATTGCTATCCGTTTTTGTCTGTCGTCGTTCGTAGTCCGTCGGTCGTAACTTTTGAACATTTTCAGCTTCTTCTCTGGGACCACTGAACCAATTTCAGCAAATTTTGGCATATAACATCTTACTATGGGCGAAGGGGAACAAAAATTGTGAAATTCATGGCCCCTGCCCCCCCCCCCCCCCTTGGGCCTTAGGGGAGGGGCTTAAACCATCAAAATTAATGCAATCTTTAAAAATCTTCTTTACTCATGAACACCAAAAAGTCAAACTATTGGCATGAATGTAATAAGCATTGAGCTCTCTACCATAAATGTGAAATTCATGGTCCCAGGGTCAGGGGTTGTGTGACGGTACATATTGTCGTTTTGTACATATTGTCGTCGGCGACAATATGTACCAACCTTCACTGCACATATTGTCGTCCATCAGTACATATTGTCGCCGTCAGAAAAGTAACACATGTACATATTGTCGCTGGCGACATTATGTGCCTCACCCTCACTGTACATATTGTCGCCCCACAGATATTGTTGCTTAAAGATTTCTTTTGTTGTTTTTTGACTGTTTCGTGAATGTAATTGGTGTATGAATCACACTGACGTATCTCGTATGCTATTTAATGCAGCGTAATTGTGACGGTACATTTTGTCGTTCTGTTCATATTGTCGCCTGCGACAATGTGTACCTACCCTCACTGCGCATATTGTCATCCATAAGAACATGTCGCATGGCGCTGCACGGCAATGCTCCATATAAATATGGCCAGAGAAACCAAAAACTTAAACAATGGTCGTATACATTAATTTGATCGTCGAAATATTACTAAAATATTGCCGACTCAGCGTTAAACAATATTAATCAATCAATCCATATATATATATATATATATATATATATATATATATATATATATATATATATATATATATATATATATATATATATATATATAGTGAAATTGTAGTAAAAGTTCACGGTATAGGTAGGTTATAAATTAAAATAAAATCCAAGATAAACAAACAAGTTCACATTTAATTATTACACTAAGCGCTTTCGCCGTGAGGCTCTTCAGAGTGTAACAAAGTTTATAAAAACAATACAACTTGGTTGTTTTGATGTCGTTATTGTGACGTCATAAAGGCAGCATTATATATTGGCGCAGGTAAATTTCTTTAGGGCGCCAAAAGTAGAGAATTGAACATATGTACATTGTGATGAAATAGACTGCTAATTTTAAGCTATAATGTTCAATTTACATTTAGTTTAGGTTTAAATAATTTTACAAAGTAATCTCCCTTGGCTCTCCGTAATTGTTCATTAATTTCTAGAACTTTATAAAATGGAAATATTAAAAAGTTTCCATTCGCACATGAATCAAAATGTTCACTGCATGGCGTATTCCTGACAGAAGGGTCCCGTATTTGTTGTTTATGGACTCTTACGCGGTCAGCTAGTTTGTTACCGGTCTGTCCAATGTAATTTTCCCCGCATGAAGTACAAGTCATACAGTATATTAAATTTTTAGATTTGCATGACATAGTCGCATTTACGGTAAATGTTTTACCACATTTAAAAGTAAACTATATGCCGGTGTAACGACGAAAAGTGACCCCCGTAGAATATTGACCGGGGGTCATTTTTCTACGTAGAAATTTGACCCCCTGGTCAATATTCTACGTAGAAAAATGACCCCCTTTTTCGTAGAAACTATGGCCTGGGGGTCATTTTTCTCCGTGTGGGTTGTAGAAAAATGACCCCGTGTCTTTTTTTAATACACAAACTGGTTTTGGTAGGAATATTCTTGTTAGGCAAATACATTGGGGTAAAATCACGCAACCTAAAAGCTTTAAAGTTTAAGTAACAAAAGGTTACACTATACCTTACAAGTACATCAATAATACAAGATGTTTATCCCATTAAAGGAAATCAAATAACTATAGGCTATTATGCTGTTCGATGACTATAAGAGCAAAAATTCACGTGTTCTTAGATTTGTTTTATCAAATTTTATATTAAAAAGTTTCCAGAGTCGTCATTAAAAAAAACAAGATTATTTACTTAGCTGGTGTCAGAGAGAGAAATTTACATATGAATAAAAATACATTGTTTCTGTGTATAATTGTAATGATCCTCTTTAAATTTTACTCTGGGTAAATAATGTTAAAAAAAAAAAGAATGATAATAAAGTCTCAAGGTTTTTTTTTTCTGAAGTTACAAGAAAGATTAATGTTTTCGAACCCTACCCAAATAAATCTGCGTGAAAAAATAGACAATTTTTAAGTTTAGATCCCATATATATCTTTGATTTCTGGTAAAAAAATTCTAATAAAATATAAGGAAGATTAAATTTGTGTAAAAATAACAGACAGGACTAAATAAAAAATCCTCTGATTTTCTATCTCAGAGACACAAAAAATGGTTAGCTCAAAATCTTTACCAATGTCTTTTGTCGTTTGCTAGTGTCAACAAAGCCTATAAACAAAATGAGGCTTCTTACATAAAAAAATGATTTTAGGTGTTTGGTAAACTAAGAATTGACACAAGTTTATACACAGTAGTACGTATATCCCCTTTCTAGTTACATGTAATAATTTTTACCAATAGAAAAAACCGAATGTTGCATTATGAAAAAGCTTCCCTGCCTACTTTACATATTATTTTTTCCCTAAGTGTGATTGGCAATATTAGCACAATTGAAGTTGCGTTTGCAAGACTACATATAGAACTGTGCCAAAAATATTGTTCAAGTACGTGATTCGTTTCAGCGTATCTATAGTGGTAAGTTTTGAGGGGGTGGGTAACGAGGATGTAACCCACTCTTTAAATTTGCTAGCCTATAGAAAAAAAATCTGACCATGTCTTTCCTATGCACAAATTAAGCGATCTTGCTGTATGATACGAGGTTTTAAAAATATAAGAGTTTTTAGGATAAAAGTAAACAAAAATCTTTTTTTCTACATTAAAACTCCTACTTATAAGGAGTTACATAATGCATATGTGCATGGTGATGTAGATTATACATGTATCTATATAATGATCAAGGAAGGGGAGTATATTGCCAGTATTTCTATCACAATCGAAGGGCACTCCTAACAAAAATTTACTATAGTAAACTATACGAGGGTTGTCCGGTAAAATCGTTAACAAAGCGTTTTTCTTGAAAGACACTAAGCTGAAATTTTCAACAATTGTTTATTTATCATATTTAAAAACATCGTAATTTTTTGGATAAAATATAGACAAAAACAAAGTGTTTATTATGCTTGAATGTACACAGGGTAAGGTCCTACGGCGCACGATAAATAAACCAGGGTTTCATTTGAAAATACATGATTATTATTTCGAAATAAAAGTACTAAATAGATAATGTTGGGGTGAAAATTATCCTATTTTTAATCCACTGTCTATTATGTCGTCTTTTGTAAATTTTTAAGGCATTTCCTTAAACTTTGGCAGTTTCCTGAGCATTTGAAATGGGAAAGTGGTAAACGCAACAAGGGGAAAATGGCGATGTTTGGTGACGTTACGGCTAACCGTTCCGTTTGATTTAGATGTAGTAATTATGCCCTAAGAAACTTTAAATGACTAAAGAAGAAAAAAAATACCACTAGATCTTTAATATACAAGTGAAATGGGAGTTTTCTAAGCAGAAGCTTTTTGATCGGGTCCTCGGGTAGAACGAAACATACCAACAAACAGCAAGAGACGCTTTCACTGTAGACCATCGATATAAGACAGCCTATTTAGTTGAATAATAGTGAAAGTACTGTCCATAACTTATTTATAAATCTTCAGAAAGTTCCATGTGTGTGAGAGATTGGTTCCTTGACCGTTTATGGAGGAATAAAGGGGAACTCAAGTATGTGCACCAATGAAATTTCTGAATTTAAGTGAGGCTTATCTAACTTTTTTTTAGCAAAGAGGAAACGTGACGCTGCTTTATAAATACACTTTGACGTTATCATACGTGCGCCGTAAGGCGATACCACACATAACATAAAGTCTCATATTTTGTTTATTTGAGCACATATCTATTTGAAATTTGCTATGTATATTGATGAAAAGTGTACTAGAAAATAGTGAAAATTTTAGAATGTAGTGATGATTATTTTTTACTTCAGACAACTTGTCCACGATTTTACCGATCAACCCTCGTAGTTAACTATAGTTTACTATTACTAACTATAGTAAATATTTTGATTAACAATGAAACTTTGTTTGGAACTTTTTTGAGATTTCAAAGCTGAAACTTTCTTAAATTGATATCAGTAATGTAAAATTTTGGGATGATATGTTAATGAACAAGAAATACGAGGGGTAATCAAAAAGTTCAACTAATTGAAATACTTCCATAAAAGAAATAAAATCACATTTCGATGTTTATTATTTTTTAAATTGGTCCTCTCCGATTTGAATGCACATCTGCCATCGTTCTCACAGGATGAAATTACACCATTCAGTTGACGAAATGGTAACTGAATGGCCACTGAAAGGTCACTGAAAAGTTCCTTTCCAGTGACTTTTCCGTGGTCTGTCAGTTATCATTCAGTCGACTGAATGGCAGATACATTTCAGTGGCCTTTCAGTTATCTTTCAGTTGTATCTTTTTATTGGATAAACGGCTTATTTTTTAACTTAGAAATTTTATTTCACGTTTTCTTATTATAATGGATCTGCCCATGCGCGAATCATGTGATCCAGGCGTTCACGTGACATTTTCCGTAGCGTTCTGTTCACAGAAATTAAAAGATTTTTCCGAGTTTTAGATTTCTTACCATGCAAGTTATTTCTTATAACAAGAATAGCCCATTTGTCACAAATAGGATTGATGGATTAGGATATCTTTTCCCAGAATGAGCATAGTGACCATCACAACCCAACTCTTTTGTATTGGGGTGCGTCGTTTATCCATTATGGATAAAGTATGTTCGCCTTCTTTTTATCATATATGATATGTTTAAAATCTAAGGTAAACGATATTTTAGGGATTCAATAATTTTATTATTGTTAAGATATTCAACTATTTTTCTTAATGTAATTTGGCGATCTTTCGTTACAGTTTGCTCAACTAAGGACACATCTCTCCCCAAGCTTGCTTTTACTGGGCACCAGAACAAACATAATTTTTACCACCTCCCTTCCTTCACTAAAACAATCAATCCAATTAATGATTGAACTTCTGCCATGTCTTTTTGTCTTCATAAATCGTGTACAAATTATTATATGCTACTGAAAAGGAATTTCTATGATAAATGTTAAGCCGTTCGTTGATCAAGTACGACTGAGTAAACCATTTTTTGTCACGTCATCTACATATTGAGTCATATTTATATTGTGACGTCCAAACGTGTAGCACATATCTGCTATTTATAGAACATGTTTATGACTAAATGTGTGCCAAATTTCATTTTGATCTGAACCGTGGTTTTGTAAATAACGAGATAGTTCACGAACTTTTTGATTACCCCTCGTAGTTCCCTAAAATATAGAAAAAATGTGCACATATAAATTTAAGAACATAAAATACCACAATCATGCATTCAAAAAAATACTTTGATTTACTATAGTAAAAACTTTGATACTGCAATAAACTATAGTTAACTTTGTAAACTATAGGGGTTTTTTTGTTAGAGACTATCAGTGTTTTTCATATTGCGATCCTGATACAAACAATATATTTATAGTGTTTCATAGTTAGCGTTATTTAGATACATTCGTTTTTCCCTGCAATAGAGATAATATAATTCTACAGACAATAATTGTAAGTACACAAATTACAGGGGAAACAACAAATCTATGAGCCAGTGCTTTCTAGTGATACCCCACCCGCACAGACAGACGGCAAGATTTGTACCAAAATGAATATCACTGTATAGCATGCCGAACCAAAGAGTGTATTAAAATTTCAAGCATCTGCGATGAGTTGTTGCAGAGAAAACTGCAACGAAAAAAATGTTTCGGACAGACATACACAAACACTCACCCCGCACACACAACAGAGAGATTCGCAGGGTACAAGGTATATACCCCCATTTCCTTCGAAGCGGGGGTATTAATATTCATGTAATAAATAAGGATAAATGAACCTAAAAGAGGGAAAAAGATATTTTATGATTAAAAATGAAGCAGCAATTGCAGTTAATGATAGCATTTCCATATTGGACGCTATTGGATTCTTCATATGCCGTGCTTTCTCTAATTTTTTCCTTGTCTAAAAATAATAATACAATACGTTTTTTGTTTCAATGCAATGGTGTATCCAGAAACTGATACATGTAAAAGCTGGGTTGGAGGCAGGTTGAAAGCGGGCACAAATTTTAAGCTAGAAGTATGGGGCCACAAACTTGTCCTTTAAATAGTTTCCGATAACATCCATTCCATACAGGTATATCCTTGTCAGAAACATATCATGTCATTTTTGGAACAAAACCTGTGAGAAAAAAAAAAGAAAAAAAAACAAAACGGATTATATATATGGGATGCAAGCAAAAATAGCCATACTATATACATTGTATATCATGCTAGTATTGAGAAGTGGCGTTAAGGAGGGGAAGGTACTTTGCTCCTCCTCCAATATACATTTGAAAGAAAAAAAATCAGGAGACTCTAGGCCTTCACCGACCCTCCCCAACATCGGATTAACGCATTTCACACCCCATTTCTAAAGGTTTAATTATAAGATATAGTGAAAAAGTAGGGGGTCAGATTTCTATGGGGGTCATTTTTCAACGTGTGTGGAGTCGTAGAATTACCGGCCTGGAAGGGTTTTCTACGGTCGAAAAATGACCCTACTTCTCGTAGAAAATTGACCGGGGGGTCATTTTTCTACGAAGAAATTTGACCCCCCGGTCAAAATTCTACGGGGGTCACTTTTCGTCGTTACACCGGCCTTGACTGTACATATTGTCGCCGACGACAATATGTACTGGTGCTTGACTGCACATTTTGTCGTCCGTAATGCAGGAGGAAAATAAGGCTCGTCTCGGTACATATTGTCGCCGGTGACAATATGGATCGATGGACGACAATATGTGCAGTGAGGGTAGGTACATATTGTCGCCGACGACAATATGTACAAAACGACAATATGTATGTACTGTCACAGGGTGCTGGTGTTGGGGCGGGCCTCTATTGATTTTATAGTGAAAGTGCATTATTTCTTTGAAAATCTTCTTTTCTGCTCCTGGGTGTGAAACTAACTAACTAATTACATTGTTATGATGAGCAAGAGTGCCTCTTCCAAAATTGTGAATTTCATGGCCCCGGGATCAGAGGTTCCGGTGTTAGGGTGGGGCTCTTTTGATTATATAGTGAAAATACATTAATACTTTGAAAATCTTCTTCTCTGCTCCTGGGTATGAAACAAAATAACTAAGTACATTGTTATGATGAACAAGAGTGCCTTTTCCAAAATTGTGAATTTCATGGCCCCAGGATCAGGGGTTCTGGTGCTAGTGCAGGGCTCTTTGATTACATAGTGGAAATACATTAATACTTTGAAAATCTTCATCTCTGCTCCTGGGTATTAAATAAACTAAGTACATAGTTATGATGAGCAAGAGTTCCTCTTCCAAAATTGTGAAATTCATGGTCCCAGGATCAGGGGTTCTGGTGTTAGGGCAGGGTTCTATTGATTATATAGTGGAAATACATTAATTCTTTGAAAATCTTCTCTGCTTCTGGGTATGAAACTAACTAAGTACATAGTTATGATGAGTATAGCTGCCTTTTCAAAAATTTGATTTAATGTAGCACATACTGTTCTGAAAAGATATCCTTTGTATTTGTAAAATTTTGACTAAGGCAATGGCCCAATCCAAATCCCGAAGAGGAACACTGACTTTGAACACATTATATACCAAAGTATGCGTTGGGCAAGTTTGGTTGAAATGGCTCAATGGATCTTTAAAAAATGAAAGTGTAAAAAAGGTGAACAGATCGAATACACATAACAGACAAACGTCAGACAAACTACATTAAAGGAAACTCACTTGAGCTTTTCGCTTTATGGTGAGTTAAAATTCCTAAATAAAGATGATTTATCTATCACGAGCCGTATTTCCTCGAAAATATTTGCAAACTCAAGTCATATATTCTGGTTGGATATTTTTCAGATTAAGATTTTTACACACATTAAGAAGTGTTTTGTTGCTTTTTTTAAGGGTGATTTTTGCTGCAGCCAGGGACCAGAATTTCCCGGAAGTGTTTTGCTACCTTAACGTCCATTCTCTGATCCCGATCCCTTCAGTCATCTTCATGGTCAGTGTATCACTGTTACAGTCTTAGTATCATCTGAGTAAAACTTTTCTGAGAGGAAAAATGTAATACTAAATTATTCCTTGAAATTAAAAAAAAACTTTCTTGCATCATTCATTTAAGGTCTTGAAATATTGTTTTTCGTTATTTTAACATTGGCACAGTTTTAACAGAATTTGGTTAAAACGAAACATTGAGATAACGAACATGCAGTATTCAAGCTCAAAGTCCATTAAAACAATATAAATCGGGAGCAGAGCTAACACGGGCCTCCAAAAAGATCAGAGGTGGGATCAGGTGCCATCAGGAGTGAGCATCCCCTGCCGACCGGTCACACCCGCCGTGTGCTCCTTGTCATGATCGGTAAATAACGGAAAAATCCGTCGACAATTCAGTGTGTAAATAATGGCCTAACAATTAGTATGAAAAACGTCAGTCAGCAAATGACTTAAGGTATTCAATGTATAATGAATGGATTTTGAACAATTTTGAATCATTTTAAAATAGTTACATATGCATTGCCAGGTAACGACAAAATGGAAATGAACCAAATTTACATGTCTGATAACACGTAAGAAGACTTTTTTTTCCAAAGAATATTTCCTACTGCCAAAATCCATTTATCTTTTTAGCCGTTAGAGGATGTTCATAATTTATTGTGTGCTTAACAACTTTTGTCATATGATATCACAGGGTTACTGTCTTACTGACCACATGACCTTGAACTTCACCCGTGAACTTATTCAAAATAAATTTTAATTTGTATATTTTGAACGGAGATAAAATAATTTACATCTCTTCTAATAAAACCCCATCAACCCCAAAATTCTAGTATTCTTTCAGTTTGATTTATGCATACATACCGAGATCTGAACTTGTAAATGTTTATTTGTTGGAATCTCATTCAAAACTGAACCTTTCCTCGTTTGCTATTGCAGACTTTGATGGCACTGCTGTACCTTGTCCTGCCTGGTAATGTTGGGTCTATGATTAACCTGACTGGTTTCATAGCCTGGGGCACTTGGGGTCTGGTAATGGCGGCCCACATCGTTTTCAAGTTCAAGGGAGACACAAAGGACATTCCACGACTCGTCAGGGTATGAACAAAGTAGATAGATCTCAGTATGCTTTGAACAGCAGTATGAAAAAGGTGCATTTATATCTGTGTGAAGCAGCTTTTCCCCCCCAATATGTAAACGATTATGAACAAACTACTAGTATATAAAGCTTTGATTTCGCCCATGCTGTGCTTTTATGTGTGTATGTTTCTAAGCAATCTATTTTTTGCACTAGGTTGAATTTTATGCATACAAAAGCGTTTTCTCAGTTAAATTACATTTCTGAAACCAGGCGATTATTTTCTATCCAAAGTTACCAACAAACATGCCACTAAAATAGGTTTGTTTTTTACCTCTACTGGTAAGAGACGAGAAGAGCATTTATAAGCAATATCAATGCGTACGTCCGTCTGTCTGTAAACAATTTTTAAAAATGCTACTCTTCCTACAGTTTTGGTTCGATTTCAATATAATTTGGCACACAAGTAGACAACACTAAGATACATAATTCTCTTTATCGGCTTTTGATTTCAGTCAACAGTGGTGCCACTGTTACTAAAATAGAAATTTTTGTGAAATTCATTCAAAACGCTTCTCCTTCAGTTTTAGTCTGATTTCAATAAAACTTTTTATACAAGTCAACAACATAAAGTAAGATGCATATAATACCGGGTATCAATTTTTGACATGGAAACTAAACCAAGAATCATTACTTTATTTATTGCTTATATGTCATGCATGTAGTTTTAAGTGTTATTTTTCTCTTTCTTTGTTAAAAGTTCAAACCAGTAGGGATAGAATCTCGTCAGAGACTTATGGTTCTTATTTTCACAGATATGATTCAGAAACTAACACAAGGATCATTATTTTATCTAGTTTTAAGTGCAAGTGTTATTTTATCTTTGTTAAAAGTTCATTCTAGTAGGGCTAAACTCTCGCCAGAAACTTCTGGTTCTTATGATTCATCGTAAATTACCGACTTGAACAGGTCATGGGTTGGAACTGTTTCAGCAGGAGTTCAATATTTCTATAATATAAAAAAATAACCTCCCACTGCCTCATGCTTCAGCAATTAGCGAATGGTTGACAGAGAATTATAGCAATGGGTCACCGATGTGGGTGTGTACAATGTGATCTTAGTAAGATTTCTGCTGTCAATGTGCGAGTGATTTGCAAGAAGAAAACTCTTGCTGTGGCCCTCAACATTTAGATAAATTAACGACGTTTTACCAATTAACAATATTCACTCTCATTCACAAATAATGATCAAAAAGAAGTTCACTGTAACTTAAGTTTAGATCAACATATTCCAAGGCCCGAAGACAAATCAACTGACAAGGTTTGATGATCCTAGGCCAAGTTAAGAAAAGTCACAGTTACCTACTTTCTGAATTCGACGAATTATCGTTATTAAATATTGTAACCTAAATAATTTGAACACTATGACCTACAGGGCACCAAACGTAAGTAGTTGATGTATTCTGTGCCAAAGGACGTGTCGGTTCAAAAATCGGTCATAGTGATCTACTTTTTGAATTTAAGCATTATTCATAGTCATATCTGACTGTGTTACTGTTGTGTTTACTACAAACTAGTGAGATCTTAACTCACATATTTCTATTTTGTAGGTTCCTATCCTGGTGTCTATGATTGTGTTACTGTTGTGTTTATCTACAGACTAGTGAGAGCTACAATCAGATATTTCTATTTTGTAGGTTCCTATCCTGGTGTCTATGATTGTGTTACTGCTGTGTTTATCTACAGACTAGTGAGAGCTACAATCAGATATTTCTATTTTGTAGGTTCCTATCCTGATGTCTATGATTGTGTTACTGCTGTGTTTATCTACAGACTAATGAGAGCTACAATCAGATATTTCTATTTTGTAGGTTCCTATCCTGGTGTCTATGATTGTGTTACTGCTGTGTTTATCTACAGACTAGTGAGAGCTACAATCAGATATTTCTATTTTGCAGGTTCCTATCCTGGTGTCTATGATTGTGTTACTGTTGTGTGTTTATCTGGTGGTTGCTCCTTTTCTAGATGGCCTGAAGATGGAGTACATTTTTGCTTTCTCTGTCCTTGCTGTTGGTATTGTTCTGTACTTTCCCTTTGTCTACCTTCATCTCTCCATCCCAGGAAGTGGTACGTTACAATGTTGGGTGATGGAAATTTTTTCGTGACCTTGACCTGATTTTAAGTTTTGACCTGATAGTAGCTGCAATAATGTAGCCCTCTCCGATTTTTTTTAGCATCTTCATGTCACAATAAAATTATTCTTGACAGTTTTAATCCTGATCTCAGAGGACAAACCTTTTTAAGGACCATTAATGCCCACCTGAGTCACATTATTTACCTGACAAAGAATGTACAAAGAAAACTTTTACTAGATCCTAAAACTTGATAATACAGCTAAGAAAAATATGTTTAAGTACACTAGCTTATTGATATTTTATTTTAACCCCCCCCCCCCTTTTTCAAATACATATTCCCAGTTGTGGACCTACCCTAGCTCAAGCTGAAATATAAAAAAAACCTAGAGGCCCAAGTGCCTAGAATCGCTCTTCTGATAAATAGTGCAACTTTACCACTTCTACTCTAAGCCTCTTAGTATACTGTATATATGTAGATAAAGCCTTGAAATTCCAAAAGTAGGTTAACATGCCATACTTCTCTTGATTAACACACTCTGAGAACCCAAGATGAATCAACTGTCAAAGATGGATGATTTCAAGGTTTTTATTATCTGAAATATTTAGATATACCCTAATCCCAACAGTAGGTCATTGTGACCTACTTTTTGGTTGACATAATCTGAGGACCCAAATGAGTCAACTAACAAAGTTTAAAGACTCTAAGCCTATTAGTATTCGGAATATTAAAAATGTGAAATTCCAAAAAAAAGGTCATGGAGACCTATTTTTTGCTCAAAATACCCCCAAGGACCCAAGATGCATCAATTGACAAAATTTGATGATCTTAAGCCCCTCATTATCCAAAATATTAAAAGTGTGAAATTCCAAAAATAGGTCACAGTGACCTACTTTTTTGGTTGAAACACTCTGAAGACCCAAGATGCATCAACTGACAGTTTAATGACTTTTAAGCTCTCTTATTATCTAAAATATTTTATTACATATACCCATGAAATATCATAAATCACCATGACCTACTTTTTTGGTTGACAAACTTTGAGAAACCAAGACTAAGTTTGATGATTGTAAGCCTCTTATTATCTTATTATCCAAATATTTATTCATATTATATAACTAGAAAACTGACCAGTCAGCAAGGGCCCCGCGGAGGGTTAGAAATATATGGGTGCAGCTTACAGAATGAGAATTTTAATTGATTACAAAAATTTTAAAATATATGAAGAAGAATATGCAATAACAACTGTATTTATAAAATTTCAAGACAATTCCTAAATATGCAACAACCTGTAAAGAGTATCCCTGTATTTACATAAGGCAGTAAAAAACATATCTATAATAACTCAATTAAATGTATATTTAAACAAGAAAAAAGCATGTGTTTTATAAAATGCCAGCCTTCAGTGAATGTAAAATCACCCAGACTTGACCTTAACTTCAAAACAAACATCAGTTGCAGACAAAGGTTAATTTATCTTAAAGTGACAAATAAAGGTATCACACCGGTAATTGTTTTCACTATGTAATTCTATATAGAATAAAAAATCATTAAAAATCAGGTATTCGAATTCATGAAAAAATATTTAGCAGGAAGTGTTAAACGTTACCAGTCACATCAGCCGACACCAAAAAATAGGGTACCTACACGGCATTTTCTGATTTTTTCCATCCGCAAACAGGAATACCCTCAAAACCACGTGTATTCAATGTGTT